CCCCGGCAGGCAGTGGCTGGCCTGGCCGGCCACTCTCGCCATTCGCCGAGGCCTCCTTCGCCGTCGTCATGCCTGCCCGTTGGTTTTATCCCGCCGCCGGGCCTGCTCCCGTCGCTTTCGGAGACCGCGTGCGTGGCCGAGAGCAGGCCGTCGGGTGGGGTGGTGGGGTCTTGGCTTGGAGGGAGACGCCGGGCGTCCGGGGCTGCGAGAATCCCAGGCGGGGGGCTACTCTGCTGACTAGGGGCACCTTCAAGTCAAGACCAGCAGCGCTGATTCCGGCGACCTGGACTTTGGGGAGTCGTCGGAGATCCCTTCGGCGGCTGCCTCGGAAGGAGCGGCGTCGCTGGTGGGAAGCGTCTCGCCCCCCGCCCCTCCTCCTCCTCCTCCTCCCTGCGAGGACATTCGGCTCCCAGGCGCCTTGAATGCTGGCGACGGCGCAGTCCTAAACAGAGCTGCGCCCTTCTGCTTCCTTGGAAGTCAGTGAGTGTAGAAGGGCGTAAAATCCTGCTTAGGGTCGCGGTGTAAATGGCTTTAAATAGACTAGATCTCTCCTCCCCCCGTTTACGGTTCCGCAGGGGCTCGCCTGCGCCTATATAGGACTCCTCCCGGCCACGGACACCTCTGACGCCTCCGGGTCCGAAGCAGGAGAGCGGAGCCGGCAGCCAGGAGGCAGAAGAAATAACGCACCGGAGAGAAGTCCTAGCGAGATAATCGAGGGAAGTACTGCAGGTGGTGGAAACTGCCTTCGAGAGTCTTAACATTTGAGCTAAAGCAATGCAAAGTGAGCATATTTAAATATCCAATACAATCTTCTTCTTTTTTAAAAAAATAGCTTTTGCACGATTATCAGTCAACGTGAACCGCAAACTGAGCCGTCAGTTAAAGCACCCGTCGTCGTCCTGAAACGTTTTTGCGTGTAAAGCGTGTAAAGCGCCGACCCTAAGCAAAGGGCTTTCAAGGCTAGTGTTGAATAGGAGACTCAGGCAGCAGGTGAACAGTAATAACAGCATTACTCAACGAAGTCAGAAGAAATCAAGAATGAGACAAACAACAGAGCAACAGGCTCCTTTTTAAACAGTCCGGGTTTGGCAAGCCACGCTTGCCAAATATTGTAAATAAAGACCAATTAGTTTGCTTCCCTCCAGAACTTCCCTGGTTCTGATAGGTTGGTTTTCAATACCTTACATCAGACTCAAGCTCCGTATACAAAGACACATACATTCCATACATAACAGCTAGTGATGAAGCGGAGGTGGTTTGCCCTTGCCTGCCTGGCAAGGTCTTGCTTGGTGGTCTCCCATTCAAGTACCGTAGTCTCTGAGATCTGACGAGATCGGGCTCTACGTGATACCGTTCCACATCCCCATTTTGATCGTTACTCGAAACAGATCTTTGCTTTAGCCACTAGAGGGCGGAGAAGCGCCGCGGTAGAGCCCTAATTCTTCCGACATCAAGAACTACACAGGATGTGAATCTACGGTCTGTTACTGGATGATTTATTTCTGCATTTTACTGTACATGCACAAACAGATATAAACACGTTAATAACTAAATAACATTTAGTTAAAATGCCTGGTATACACGATTCTGTTAAAGACCTCCAGCTAAGGAAAACCTCCCCCTCCCGAGGTGGTTCTACTCAACAAACTGCGGAAAGGAAGGACTCATGTCCAATGCTCGCTCTAAGTTGCGGAGGAGTCTTGTGAGCAAAAATTCTACCTTGTGAGCGACTGGCATTAAAGTCGTGAGTGAGCGATATGGCTGCTACATAAATTAGTTTGCTCTGGACTCTGGAGCCCTCCTTGTGAGCCAGAGGCTAAAAAACGGTGAGCTAGCTCACATTAACTCAGCTTAGAGGGAACACTGCTCATATCTCCCCCGCCGCCCCCCTTACTGAGGCCCGGATACAAGGCAAGGCAGGATACAAATTGATAAATGAATAAATAAGTAAGTAAGTAAGTAAATACCACCTGGAGTTGCCAACTCTGGGTCTGGAGATTTTGGGGTGGAACCTAGGGAGGGCAGGGTTTGGGGAGGGAAGACACATGAGTGCAGTCATACTGCCACAGAGTCCACACACACTCCCAAAGCTGCCAGTTTCTCCGGGAAAGCTCATCTCAGTCACTGGGAGAATTCCAGGAGATCTCCAGGTCCCACAGGAGGTTGGCAACTGTAATTCCACCCAGCTACATCAGACACAGGGGTGAGAGAGACCACAAGGTGCCCTCTGTTGACTTGACTGGCTCTGCATCTTCCTCCTAGAATCATAGAGTTGGAAGGGACCTCCAGGGTCATCTAGTCCAATCCCCTGCACAATGCAGGAAATTCACATAGTACCTCCCCCCCTCCACACACACCCAGTGACCGCTGTTCCACGCCTAGAAGATGGCAAAAAAAACTCCAGGATTGCTTCCTGACCCCAAAGTGGCAATCAGCATTTCCCTGGGTGTGTAAAAAAGGGCCACAAGAACTGAGCACTGAGGCAAGCGTTCGTGCCCTCCCCCTCATGATCTGCCTAAGTGTCCCTTTTAGCTGTCCAACAGAAACAGTCATGGGAAAGTGCAACCCCAAGCTGAATTCTAACTCCATTGACATAAATGGGCTTAGAAAGGTATATCACCTAAGGGTTAACATCTGAATTTGCTTGTATTTTCCTCTCCCCTGTGGCTCAGTGGTAGAGCATCTGCTTGGCATGCAGAAGGTCCCTGGCTCAATCCTCAGTGTCTCCAATTAAAAGGACCAGGCAGTAGGTGATGGAAAAGACCTCTACCTGAGACATTTAATGCATGATTTTGAGTTGTAAACTGTTTTGAGTACAGTGGGGGGAAAACTGTGTGTGTGCACGCGCATGCGTGCACACTAAATCAATAAAAACTAGCATACAGTGTAGGAAGCAATTCCAACCGAGAAACAAGTGGCCTGTTGATTTATGTGGCACCTTATCTTAGATTCTGATGGTGCTTCAGAGGACAAGCTCAGGGACTTTGGCATTTCAGAACATGGGTCAATCCTGCTTTCGAGGGAGAGCTGGCTCCCATGCCGTGCAGGCAAAGAGAAAGGTGCACTCAGTAAGAACTGACCTCTTAGTTGACCAGGCTGGCCAAAAGACCTCTCCGCATCCACATATCCAGCTCCCTACTACGGCTATACCAGCCCTGAAGTCTCCAGACTTTCCTGGTAGGACCTGGCACTGAGCCTATATGTGACTGAGGGCAGCAGAAGTGCCTTGCGGCACACTCATTTTCTTGCCAATGGATCAGCTGATGGTTCTTCAGCAGCAGACGATCTTGCCTGGAATATATTCAATACATCATGGATATTGGAGGTTATTAGCAACGAGGACATAGAGGCAGTGTGGTATAGCAGTTAGAGTGTCAGACAAGGATCTGGGAGACCCAGGTTCACCCTACCATTGGAACTCGTTGAGTGACCTTGGCCCAGTCACACACTCTCAGCCTAACCTTCCTAACGGGGTTGTTCTGAGAATAAAACGGAGGAGAGAGAACAGTGTAAGCTGCTTTTTTGGATCCCCAAGAGGATGAAAGGCAGGGTAGAAGTGAAGCAATGCAGATGGTGGGGGAGCTGGAGACCAAGGCTGAAGGATCTGGGTATGTTCAGCCCGGAGGGGAGACAACTGAGAGGGTGACATGATAGTCATCTTCAAGTTGGCGAGGCGCTGTCATATAGAGGACGGAGCAGAGTTGTTTTCCATTGCCCCAGAAGTTTGGACCAATGGATTGAAATTAAATCAAAAGAGTTTTCAGCTAAACATTAGAAAGAAGTTCCTGACAGAGAGGTTCCTCAGTGGAAGAGGCTTCCTCGGGAGGTGGTGGGCTCTCCTTCTTTGGAGGGTTTTAAAAGAGAGGCTAGAGGGCCATCTGACAGCAATGCTGAATCTATGGGCCTTTCCACACTTGAATCTCATCCCTGCAGGGGTCATTTCGTAGAAAAAGAGCTAGGGGGACTCATTAGCATAACTCATTAGCATATGCCACCACCACCCCGACATCACCGGAAGTGTGTCCTCCCCACAGCCGGCGGCGACCTCCAGTGGGCACCAGCAGGGAGCTCCAGGCCCCGCCCTCCCACACCTCACCCGGGGGGATGGCGTTCCCCCGCATCCCCCCCCCCCAAATGACCCCTGCATCCCTGGTTTTATCAGAGTTCAACTTGGGACACAATACCTTGCATTTATCCCTGATTATAACAGCATCTGTTTATCCTGGGACAAGAGTGGGGCGAAACCGGGGTGACCTCAGTGTAATATGGAAACAGAAAATACCCCGAGATGATTACAGGGGTGAACTCATGTTTAGTGTAGAATGTAAGTTCAGGGAGAGGGTTGAACCAGGATTTGAGGTCTAGTGTGGAAAGGACCTATGACTCACTGTGAATTTAGGCAGATGGTGAGAGGGAGGGCAGGAAAGGGATGAGCCAGTGCTCGGCTCTCGTGGCCCTTTCTTATTATGCCCAGGGTAATGCCCGTTGCCACTTTGGGGTCAGGAGGGAATTTCCCTCCAGGGAGCCTGGAGGGTTTTTGCCTTCCTCTGGGC